AACCAGTTCATTTGCTGGTGGGAACACCTGGAAGAATACTAGATCTTGTAAGAAAAGGAGTTTGTGTTATAAAAGACTGTGCAATGCTTGTTATGGATGAGGTATGTAATGTAAAAAAGGTTTCACCTTATGTATCACTCCTTTTATTTATGAGATGTTTGAAGTGTCTAAAAATCCCGTAGCATTTAGGTGCAAGATTAGTTTGCTGTGATGCTGCAAGCTATGCTCTATCTAAATTTTATCCATTTATTTTTCATTCTAATGGATTTAAAAACAAATGATACAGACAAAAATCTTCAATGTTTGCTCTTATGCTTTCAGGCTGATAAGCTTCTATCACCAGAGTTCCAACCGTCTGTGGAGCAATTAATCAGGTTTTTGCCTGCAAATCGTCAAATATTGATGTTTTCAGCTACATTCCCTGTCACAGTTAAAGATTTCAAAGATAGATATTTGAAGAAGCCCTATGTAATCAACCTGATGGATGAGCTTACTCTGAAGGGTATAACACAATTTTATGCTTTTGTTGAAGAAAGGCAGAAGGTCCATTGCCTGAACACACTCTTCTCAAAGGTTAGTGTAATAGTATTTACTCTCTTCTGACAGTTTTTTATTAGTTAAACTTCTTGACAATGATATACTATAACCTGTGCCTACAGCTTCAAATAAACCAATCAATTATTTTCTGTAATTCTGTAAACCGGGTTGAACTTTTGGCCAAGAAAATCACAGAGCTTGGCTACTCTTGCTTCTATATTCATGCAAAGATGCTTCAGGATCACCGGAATAGAGTATTTCATGACTTCCGCAATGGTGCCTGCCGGAATCTTGTTTGTACTGGTATGATATTTTTACATTCTAAAACAGTTAGAGACCAAAAAAGTATTAGTCATGTGCAGCCCTGTGTCCGTAACTGGAGTTTCCTTTTGTTTTCCAGCATTTGTTTGGCCTGCTTATTTAAGAGCTTATGTACACAAAAAAGCTATATCCTAGGCCAACCACTAAACTGTTAAAGAGGATTCTTATAGGTCAAATAAGAGCAATAAATCTGCTTTCAGTACTCTAAATTGAAGTTTTTTTAAAAAAGTGCCCTCCTATTACAACCTTTCTATGCAGTAATAGTGAGATGAAATTTTAAAATCGTCATCATAGGTTTTTATTTGTAAGGAAAGTATCATGAGATGATGATGACTTGAGGTAGTTGCAACTATCTGATAGGGATACCTCCAGGTACACAGTCAATTCACAGAAAGATGAACAGAATTCAAAGAAAACAATTCAAGAAGCTTTATTGAAGAAGAGCAAGTATCAATGGCCGAAGCTCCAATGGCCGAAGCCCCCAATGTGAGAGAGTATTAGTCTCTAACTTCCCAGTACAAGACAAAAGTCTTAAACAGCCTGCTCAACTACCTCCCCTTTCCGTCTATTTATACTACAATGCTACACTCTTTGTTATTCTTTCTATTACTAGCCTAATGGGCCCTTTTATTAGCCTAATGGGCCTATTCCTATCAATACTTCCCCCCTAAACATCCACCTTGCCCTCAAGGTGGGTAATAGGAAACAGCCAAAATCTTCTGCTTCCTCTTCCTCCTGGTGCTTCTACCTTCCCAATATCTCACTGTTTTCAGAGCAAAGAGCTTTAGTACATAGTCTTTCCAACTCACAAATTTTTCTGCAGCATAGAATATTTCTGGTGAAGTTTCATTTTCTTCACTAGCTTTTAAGCCTTCAATAGCCACAAGTATGTCCTTGTCTTCCTGGGGTGTATCACCTACACCAGTAGCAGAATAATCTGTCTTTTCTCCTTTATTTCGTCCTTGATTTCGTCTTTATTATTCATTTGCTTGATTACAGGTTCAGTTGGTTCCATCTGGTTCTTCTTTATTGACAGGGAAAAATCTTGCGCAGTGTGAGAAACTTGTGAACTAAGAGAAGTTCTTGGTGACCGTGATAACTCCTGTTTTTCTGTCTTCCATTTGCGTCTAGGAGGGAAACGCCTAATCGCCGCTTCCTTTAGAGCCTTCCAACTATTTTCTCTCGTTTGAAATTCCCACCATTGAAACCATCCAAACGGCCTTTCCTCCATAGCCTCAGCTGCGACGTCAACCTTAAATTTTTCTGCAATAGCTTTGACTCTGAAGTATCTTTCCATCCTATCTATCCAATCGTATACTTCATCCTCGTTGAATAGCGGTAATTCCTCCGTCTTAGAACTAGCTGAATTCTGAGAAGCGACTTTAGAAGAAGAAAATGAACAGTGAAAATCCTCAGGCAAAGAAGAAGATTCTCCTCTCAATCGCGTCTTTCTTGGACGCAAACAGATGGCCGGTGAGGAAGTCTGCGAATTCTGAGGAGTTCGCGATTGCGAACTTAAAGAAGAAGTTCGCGATTTCGTCTGCGATAGCTGATGATGCCTACTGCTCCTCGATCGATCTCCCTGTCCCTTACGAAGCCTCTGCTCTTGGTGTGAAACAAAATACTTTGAATTATCTTTTAATCCATCTGCTCTAGCGGAACGATCTCCCCTTTCCGTCTATTTATACTACAATACTACACTCTTTGCCATTATAGCCTAATGGGCCCTTTTATTAGCCTAATGGGCCTATTCCTATCACTATCATTCGCATATCCAAACATGACCTTCGGCTTCACCAAATATTCTCTAATAAGCTATAGTGAGGTTTGTTTTCACTTTTATCAGTGTAGTTAAGTCTTCCTTTCACAGGAACATCCAATGATTTATTTGTACATACCCATAAGCTATATGTCGGACTTTAAGGACTTGGTTATCATTTTCCTACTATATTACTATGAAGTTTTCCTCTGATTACTCAAATAGTCTAATGAAATTCCTTCTACTTGTCTTTCTCTCTACTATTGTCTAAAACACAGATCTCTTTACAAGAGGCATAGATATTCAAGCTGTCAATGTTGTTATCAATTTTGATTTCCCAAAGAATTCAGAAACATATCTACACAGGGTATGCCAATTAGATATTTGACCAGTTTTTTTCTTTTGCCTTTTGTTTTGTTGTTGAGATTTAAAAAACTTGGGATGCAGGTTGGGCGATCAGGGAGATTTGGACACCTTGGTCTAGCTGTAAATCTGATAACTTATGAGGATCGCTTTAATCTGTATGCTTACTACTCAAATGCCTTCCCTTATAATAGCTTCCTGGTTTTTATACACTTTCGTTGTAGTTCCTAATAAGTTGTACTCTGCAGCTATAGAATCGAGCAAGAACTGGGAACAGAGATCAAGCAAATTCCTCCACATATCGATCAGGCTATATACTGCTTGTGATCTGTGTACTCTTGGTTGGTGTTAGTTAGCGGTGGTGAGTTGATACTGATTAATAGAAATTAAAATGTATTATTCAATGATATCTTTCTTCAATCCCATGTTGTATAATCTTCAAGCATCCCATAGTTCTTGTCATAATCCATAGTTCTTGATTTTTCAGGAAAATCTTTCCTTAAAAAAGTGAATTGTATAACTAATATTTATTTTATGGGTGCTATGGAAAAACAACGTGCTTGTGAAAACATATATGCTTATACTGAGCAATGTGCTTGAATAAACATATATTCTTTTATATACTAATGTAAAATATATATTTTAACAGAAACATGTTTTATGCAGAATGTGCTGGGCTCAATCTGTGAATGCATGACATCATAAGGGTTGTACTTTGAAGTTGGGGTAGACTGGAAGCCCGCCACCATTCTTGGATATATACTGCCTCCTTAAAACTCTTTATGGACCCCAAAGTACATATGTGTCCCAAATGCAGAGTGGATGCACTATGAAACTGTCCATGGTGTATGGTTGCTTAATATGAATGTTTTCTGACTAAAAGAAAAAAGGTTCTTCTGGAGTGACTGTGATCAGCGATTTAAATGTGTCATGTTTGCCTTGTGTTTCAGATCCTTTATATTTGCAGGCACAAGGATGTGTTCAGTTATTGGAAGTCTTTGATGATTATCTAGCAGTTTAAGGAGAAACATTAACATCTGTAGCCATGGCTACGACATTAACATACTGTAGTAGTATAGACTCCTTTGTTTAGATAATCTTGTTGTTAAACTTCTCTAGTTCTCTTTATATATGCCCAATAAAAATCCTTTTACTCTCCTACTCGTAGTTCTAAATAACATGGAATACATAACAAGCAAGAAGAGACCCCACACACCCGTACCCAAAACAATAGGTGATTGAGTACTGCCTTATTTGGGTATGCTTTTTTGTTCAAAGTAGTTTTGGGTAGTGGGTGTAACTAAAGCTGTTCTACTAAAAGCATTATAACGTACTGTTACGATGAAATTACCGTGTAATGTTGGATTTTTTTAAGGAATTGTTCATATGAAAAACACAGTTGGAAGTAGGGATGGACACGGGCCGGGTGGTCCGACCAGGTACCGGCCCGGGACTGGCACTGTTCTGGCCTGGCCTGACCCGGTGGCCCGGTCAGTGACCGGTCCGGGTAGGCCCGGTCCTTGGGTTTTCCGGTCCGGGCTCGGTCACCCAAAACAAGGCCCGACCCGGCCGGGCTCGGACCCGGTTCAGGCCAAAACAATTTTTTTTTTCAATTTTTTTTAAATTTTCAGGTTGAGCTGGGTATTTTGGGCCATTTGGGGTGGTTTGGGGGGTTGGGGGTGGGAGGGGGGTTAATTAGGAAGAGGAAAAAAAATGATAATGGGCCCGGGCTGGGCCGGACCCGGAGGTTACCCGGGCCGCTCCCGGGTCCACCAATTCTGAACCGCTGGCCCGCCCGGGCCTAGGCCCGACCCGGCCCCGGCCCGGATCCGAGTCCATCCATAGTTTGAAGCACTGTGTTCTTATTTAAAGTTTAAACCTCTATCCAAAATTCCAAACAAGTTTTCAGACACTATTCTATCTTTCTAAGTTTTCTCTCATAGCAGACCATGCAAAATGTCAGTAATTTTTAATTCAGCCTAAATCAACATAATACACAAACTATACAAATTCAACAAACTTGAGTATTTTCATGATATATATTGAGCTAAAATGTAATCATAAATGAAAGGGTCTGAATGGGGATAAGTAGATTTTATTTTCATCAGGCTGGCAGCAATGACAATTAAGTTGCTTCTCATAATTCATAAGTAACAACAACAAAAATAAAATGCATATTAGTTTCAAATTGCAAATGTGTATATGGATATATATGTGAATGGATGCATTTATGTTCAGTGGGCTCTGTCCTTGAAGGTATCCAAGCTCATTTCGCTTGGATCTGTTGCTTGCAACTCGACTTGAACACCATCCAGTTCTCTCCTGAATTTGTCTTTGGAGCTTGCATACACCATCTTGTTTCTCACGCTTGCAATCTCTGGAGACCTATTTCCAAATATAATAATATTGGATATAAAAAACATCGTACTTAACTTAACTATGTCCCTTATTTGCATAAAGAATAAAATTGAATATAAAATATCATCATATTGAACAAGGAAATTTGCAATATTCATCCCGTAACTTTCGACCGTCATCATTATTAGTCCCGTAACTTTAGACACTTGCAAATTCAGTCCTCTAACTAATTAATATTTGTGATTTAATTGAATTCAGCCAGTCGCCGGCGTTGGACTTTTTCGCCGAAAAGTGTACTTTCCGGTGGGGAAGTCCTTAAATTACAAAGATTTATTAGTTACAGGACCAAATTTGCAAGTGCAAAGTTACAGGACAAAAAACGATAACAAACGAAAGTTATAGAACTAAAATTGTAAATCTCCTTATTGAACATGCACGGAGTCCACAAACATGGAAACATAAGGAAGGAGAAATACAAAAATGTGAAACATTTTAAAAGAACTGGAAAATTGCGTTGTTTCTTAGAAGCTTGCAAAACGTTCATGAAACAGATAAAGTTTACATTCATAATAGGAGATTGTTTAAAATAATCAAGGTTTATCAGGATCATTTTAGTCATAGGAGGACAATTTAATCAAATAAACCAGCTTGCTCTTTGCTTAATGATTAGTGCATTTTACAAGTTTGCTAGGATATTAAATTCCAAGAGATTGATGTGAATATACCATGAAACGAAGAAGATCCTGCTTCTTTGCATATTCTCTTGAGTGGTGAAGTCGTAGTCGAAAACCGCAAATCGACAATCATCAGAAGGTAAGCTATTGGTGAAATCCTCATGCGTCTCTTCATGACTTCCGAGTTTCTCAACTACCACAGCTTGGCTTGATCTATCGATCTTGAAAATGATGTATCTGAAGTTTCTCTTCGACTTCAGCTCCATAAACTTTAGCTTGCACTCGTCGATCACGCCGACCCCAGATGCCGCATTAGCCTAATAGCATTTTAGCAACAGTATAAAATGACATTTAATTTCCAAAAAAGATCATCTTCTTCAATGAAGAAAGAAAAAGAAAACCGCATATATAAATACCATTTTCCGCTGCTGTTAACACCAAATGAGGTCTGTCTTTGTGCTTTGCACAAATTTTGAAAAGAGTAGTTAGATGAATCTAGAGAGGGAGAAACGGTGGATCCTTTGCATGGCTTGTTGGGGATGAAGAAATGGTCAATATTGAAAGTTAATGCAACACACATTACTCATGTTATTTTTTGCTTTATTATTATGGTTGTACGTATGTGTGAAGCGTGTGCCTTTGAACCCCTACGTTTGCTCATCACCCCTTATTCACTCTTTCTCAACCCATTCATCCAATTGATAAATTTATTATCAATAGTTATTTTTTTTGTTGTTGAGGAAATTATCAATAGTTATTAGTAATAACTGTTAATTTCTTCATTTCATGGAATATATTCACATCAATCCCACTATTTAACTGTTAATATAAAAAATCTGCTATTATAAGTTGAAGATTGAATAAACGTCCAAACTGGTCTATTTTCCAAAAGAGGAAAATAATTTAAATACCTCAAACTTTCAAGAAGTGTGAGATAAGCACTCCAAACTTGTACATCTAATATATATACCTCAAACTTTGTATAAAAAGTTATATTAGTACCATGATCATATATTTTTTCACAAATGTAATTTGTGGTGTTAAGTACTCTACTTAAAATACACAACACATTTATGAGGATACAACTAAAAAAAAATTAAACTGGTTGTAATATTATTTATTTCACAAATGAAATTTTAGAATGTTAACTGCATTCCAACAAAACTTATTAGAGTATTTTAAATTATGTAATTATTCCAATAAATTTGTATTTGTAAAAAATATATAATAATGGTGCAAAAATAACTTTTTATATAAAATTCAGGGTATTTATATTTAATATGCAAGTTTAGGGTACTTATCTTACACCCCATTAAATTATTATGTAGGTCTCAATTATAATTATAATTAATTATATTACAAACTTCTCAATATTTATAATGAGTAAATTAAGAAAACCATTTCTAATTAATAAATTTAAGAATCCAAAACACAAATTTATCTACCAATAATAGTTTTATTTTTAAAAATTAGTGCCCCACATGATAATCATGTCGTAGGCATATGCCTAGGTGCTTCCTCACTATAGTCGGCTCTACTATCCTGGGGTGAGACATAGAACTGACCAGCGTCAGAGAACTTAATTAAGTTCTCTATCAAGTTCGCTAACCACACAATCTGGTAGGTTAATCTAGCAACATCCTTGTTCATACTATTAATATAATGCCATAATGTTTTTAGTATCAGAACTTAAGTAATGATTTGGAAACACTAGATAAGAATTTGGACAGAAGAATCAAGAATCTACCTTCTACGCCGTATCAATTTCTTAATTAAGAAAGATGATTCTATTGTAAAGCACCATTAACTCGTATTAGCGAATGATTGGTGAATTTCATAGAGCAACGGACCCGTTTCTCCCGCTGTAGTTGGTGGTCTTCCAAAAGTCCAAAACACACTGTCCACTGAATCGGGAAATGGAATTTCAATCAGTTGGAGAAAGCTATAAAATGGAGCAGAAGCCAGCGACTTCACTCCCCCTAAGCACTCTCATTTTAGCATAATCTCTCCCCCTCCCTCCCTCTCCTCGCTGAAATCCGCCATTGATTTTTGCTCTGTCCTGAGTTTCCTAACTCGTTGTTCCACACTCGTCACATCGGTTAGTTCATCTCCCTATTTTCACTGCATGTCCTTACAACAGTCTTTTATTTCATTGAGATTGGATTATGCATACGAATTTCAGTTATTTCTGCTCGAACCACCCTAGGAAGAGGTCTATGCACTGATATCCGTACAAGCGTGTGTATGCAATCAGCATATGTGTGTGTGGTTCAGCGGTTGTTGCATGTCTTGAGAGTTGAGTTAGAATAGTATTAGTATGGAGTATTAAATTTGTTGCTATGATCAACTTCCAAGGTAATACGTGCATTGAAATTGTTGTTGTTTTTCTACCAGGTGTTTGGTTTCAGGTGAATGACTTGCAGCGGTTTGAAGTGTGTAAATTTGGTCTGTTCTGTTTCTTAGACTAGAGGAGAATAAATGGGCTTCACGTATTGTCTATTCCAGCCGTGCACAGCACATTATAGGGATGATTTGAATTTCAGAAGTCTCCATCAACCAAACATATGCAAGGATTCAAAGAGGATATCTCTAGGAAGATCAAGGTTTTTGTGTAAAAGTCTCTCAAAAAAGGGTTCAAAACGAGCAACTGCTACTAGGAGCCAAAGCGTGCTCAGTTCAAGGTTCTTATTCGACTGTCATCTGTGCAATTCAGCTTCAGGTGGAAACAATGTCTGCTCAAAGGCATATAGAGGTGTACATATATCTAGATGTCAAGGCAATGGGGATTCAGATCCCATTGAGAGTGGTTGTGATGCAGACCCAATTTGTGAGACTGATTCAATTGCAGAAATAGGCAGTTTGAGTGGAGAGCACAAGGAACATAAAGAAGAGGCAGAGACAAATGTGCCTGATTTAGATGATTTAAGGGAATTGTTTCATAAAACACTCAGGGATTTGGAGAGTGCACATATTAATAGAACCATGTTTGAAGAGAAAGCTCAAAGGATATCGGAGGAATCAATATTGTTGAAGGACAGTGCAGTAAAGGCTAGAAAAGATGTTAACAATGTTCTTAACACTATCCAGAAGATAGTAACTGAAGAAACAGTGGCTAAAGAAGCTGCGCAAAAAGCAACCATGGCACTTTCACTGGCTGAAGCAAGGCTTCAGGTGACAGAGGACTCGCTGGATGTCTCAAATGAGAGTAACTTGCCTGCGGACACTTCTGGTGCCAGCACAATGGAAGCATCAGGTTCATTAAGAGAGGACAATGAACTGCTTTTGACTGCGAATGAGATTTATTTCAGAGAATGCCAAGACTGTATGGACAATTGCACTGCAGAACTGAGGCAATTACAGAACAGGAAGGAAGAGTTACAGAAGGAAGTAGAAAGGCTGAATGAGGTTGCAGAAGAAGCAGAATTGAAAGCTCTCAAGGCAGAGGAGGATGTGGGAAATGTAATGCTTTTAGCAGAGCAAGCTGTTGCATTTGAACTCGAGGCTACACAACGTGCAAGTGAAGCAGAGGTCGCATTACAGAATGCTGAAAAGATACTAGCAATTTCAAATATTGATTCCACAGAAGCTACAAGAGGACATGAGCACGTTGAGGGGGATGCTTTTGATGAAACCACGAATAAGGGAAATCCAACAGATGCTGAAACACCAGAGGAGGTGCCAACTGAGGATGCTTCTGTAATTGCAGAACCATTACTAAAGAACCAAATTAATACGACCGTTCTTACGACTGATGTAGGGCAGTTATTGGACAAAAGTGAACAAGAAGACAGTGGATTGGGGTCAGATAGATCAAAAAATGTTCAGAGTAATAAAAAACTGGAAGTACAGAAGGAGCCAGTAAGGGATAGCTCACCATCAAATGGTCCAAAGTCCTTACTGAAAAAATCATCGAGGTTCTTTTCTGCTTCTTTCTTCTCTTTTTCAGCAGATGGTGTAAAATTCACCCCGGCTTCAGCTTTTCATGGTCTTTTGGAGTCAACAAAGAAAGAATTGCCTAAACTGATAGTTGGCTCGTTGCTACTAGGAGCTGGGTAAGAGTAACTGTTGATTTGGTATTATCTTGCGGGTTTTCAAGTAATAATAGCTGTACTACTTGGTACTTATAACTGCTTTCATAAGGCTTCACAGAAATGCGATAATTTGCTAGTATTGCTAGGTTTTTATATGCTGCTATTTTTTTTTTTACAGAGTTTCCCTCTATGTCAACCGGGCTGAGCAAATCATTAAGCTATTTCAGCAGCCAGACATCATTACTACTAGTATTGATGAGGTGTCGACAAATACAAAGCCCCTGGTTAGAAAAATAAAGAAACTGCCCCAGAAAATCAAGAAACTAATCAACAAGCTTCCTCAGCAAGAGGCATGTTCTTACAAAAGTCATTTTATTTTAGTTGGCTTAGATCCCATCGTCGGATGTGTATATACATGAAAATACATCCATACTTGTACATTGTGATGGAGGTTTCTTCGCTTTGTAGATCAATGAGGAGGAAGCCTCCCTTCTTGATGTGATCTGGTTATTGCTTGCCAGCGTCGTGTTTGTGCCTCTCTTCCAGAAAATCCCTGGAGGTAATACATATTTTATTTCTTCTTCTTCTTCTTCTTCTTCTTCTTCCTCCTGAGGTAGTAACTTTCACATTTTGGTGACATGGCATTGGGCCACCTTTTCTCGTGTTTTGAGTAGATAGTTTAATCACTCATCAGTTTATCGCGGCTTCTGACAATTCGGGCCACATTCATCTTATGTCAATAATATCCTTCTTCTTAGGCTGAACTCACAGTGCATCTTGTAGTTTTCATGGACTGGATACATGCAATAGGCATTTATATTGCCTTCTCATAGCTCATCTCCTGTCTGCTGCAATGTTCAGGAAGTCCTGTTCTTGGATACCTGGCTGCTGGAATTTTGATTGGGCCTCATGGTATTTCTATTATTCGTAATGTACATGCAACAAAGGCAATAGCTGAATTTGGAGTTGTCTTCTTGCTTTTTAATATTGGCCTTGAGGTGGGGTTTGTAAAGAGGAAATATTTTGTAGGTTATAATGTGTAGCTGCCATGTAATGACTGAAGTGTTTTGATCTTTATGTGGCAGCTTTCTGTTGAGAGGCTAAGTTCTATGAAGAAGTATGTTTTTGGTTTGGGGACTGCTCAGGTTGCTAATTAAATATTTCAAATTTTATTCGACCAATATGAGTTATTACCTTGTTGATATTTTCTGCCTTTAACACTATGTTTTATGTGCACAAACAAATGTAGGTATTAGTGACAGCTGCAGCAGTTGGCTTGGTCACTCATGTCATTGCCGCACAGCCAGGTCCTGCAGCAATTGTCATTGGAAATGGTCTTGCATTATCTTCCACCGCTGTTGTCCTCCAGGTAAGCACTGACATCTGTTTAGTAGGTCTTGCTGAATGCTGAATGTACTTGATTTTTTTTTACAGGTGTGGCTGGGACTTAGGAACCCGTTTCGGATATAGAAAATAGAGAATATGAGAGAGGAATTTTAAAACAAGCCCAGTCTAGAATTAGTCAGTGCCCAACCTTGTCAAGACACAC